TAGGGGGAACGGGTGGGTTATCTGGAGATTTGATGTATAGCCAGGCGTTGCTGCAGGACCAGAAAGTTCAAAAGTTTAAGTTCCCAGGCTTGTTCAAGTCAGGATGGTTTCCTTGTCCCTTAAGCTACTACCTTTTTCCTAATTTAACAGCTTGACTATAGTGACTCCATTTTATTTCGTATCTCTTTCCTCACAGGCCAGGCCTTGATTGGTTACATAACCAATGTTTTCTGTTTGAATTATTATTATTATTTGAAAACTTTAATGTTGACATTATTGTAGACTGCCCTCATCCTCCCCCGTCCCCCCGCCTTTGCCCACCTCCTCCTCTCCCCACCTCCCCCTCCTTTGGCCTTTGTCACACCATTTTCCATGTCCATGGGGTCTGCATATATATTCTTTAGCTAATCCCTTTGTTTACCAGACATCCCCACTTCCCTCCCCTCTGGCTCCCTCCAGTCTGTTCCATGTGTCCATGCTTCTGGTTCCATTTTTTCCGTCCGTTTATTTTGTTCATTAGATTCCACATATTGGTGAGATCATATGGTATTTGTCTTGCTTTGACTGGCTTATTTCGCTTCACATAATACTCTCAGGTCCCTCCATGCTGTTGCAAAAAGTAACAGCCCCTTCTTTTTCTATAGCACGTAGTATTCCATTGCGTAAATGTTCCTTTTCTCATTAATACACCAGAAGCCTCATTAAATGGAAGAGGCTTGGGCCTCTCTTGATCCCCAAGAAGCCTTGGTTTTAAATAGTTGTCAGCAGCCAGTTAGCTGGGGTCACAGAAACCCTTTGTTCTCTGGACTAAGCATCCCCAGTTCTTTCAACGGTCTCTCATTTTTTTAATTGATTCTCATTCTCTCTCTCTCTCTCTCTCTCTCTCTCTCTCTCTCTCTCTTTTTTAGAAAGAGAGGAAGGGAGAGGGAGAAAGAGCCTCCTCCTGCTCTGTTTCTTTGAGTTGTTTTTTTTTAAGATTCCACATACAAGTGAAATCATAGAGTATTCATCTTTCTCAGTCTGACTTATTTCACTTAGCATAATGCCCTCAAGATCCATCCATGTTGTTGAAAATGGCAAGATTTTCTTCTCTTTGTGGCTGAATAATATTCCATTGCATGTATGTGTGGACTCCTTGGAGAGAGCCTGCAAGGGCGGTTGCACGAAACAACGTAATAGACCTTATTTTGGGGGTTGGAGGGAGTTCATAAGCCCAGAGTGGAAAAGACTAGAAAGATACAAACTACTTGTACAGTAGCCAGTACATACCCGCCTGCATTTCGAGGGCGTTGTGAAGGTTGAATGCGAGACTGTTCAGCCAAGTGCGTCCCTGTACTGGCTACTGTAAACTGCACTGCAATGAACACGGGGTGCATGTGTCCTTTGGAGTTAGTGTCATTTCCTTTGAGTAAACATCCAGAGGTGGAATTGCCAGATCATACGGTGGTTCTGTATTTTATTTTTATTTCTTGGGACACAAAGTATCTCGCCCGAGGTTACACAGGCTACACCCCGCCGCCGGGATTTGCCATTTGACTCTCTGGGTTCTGCAGAGGACACGGCTGAAGCCATGAAGCAGGACAGTGGACTTTGTGTGAGCACACGTGGGAGCCTCTGGGGGCATCATCTCCCTTGGTGGGGCTGCTCTGGACCCACTGGCTGGTAGGTTTGGGCGGTGCAGGATACAACACAATTGCTTTCGAGCCAAGCAGTCCAGGCAGAAACATGTCGATTTAACAATTTATATTCATGTATGGATTACAGAGCAAGATCTGGAGATAAGGGACATAAAGAGGCCTGGGGGCCTCGCTGCCCTCTCATTGTGTGTCAAGGGGCACAGCAGGGCTTTCCTGAAGCCACCCCGTGCACGACACAGCTCTCCCAGACAGATGTCTGCGCTGGCAGGTCACGCGGGGGCTTGAGGCATTTAATTTCTCTGTTTGTTTGCAGCTGATGATTATCATTCTTGGTTAGAGGTAGCATGAATGTTTCTGACTTTTTGGAACAAAGGTAGCAATTCCAAGCCAGAAACACTGTGGTTTTGGTTTTTAGTTGTTGTTGTGTTGTTTTCTTATTGCAAAAAAAACGATAGCCACTCATTGTAGAAAAAGTAGAAAATACAGATAACCCAAGAGAAGAAAGTGAAAAACTCCCCCAACTCCCGGTCTAAAAATAACCATGGCTAGTGATTTGGTTTGTACCCTTGTACATTTGAAACAATTTTAGTTTGTATCTTTCTAGTCTTTTTCACTCTGGGTTTATGAACTCTCTCCAATCCCCCAAATAAGGTCTATTACGTTGTTTCCTACAACCGCCCTTGCAGGCTCTCTCCAATGAGACTACGTCATTTTCACACAAGAGGTTAAGCCAGTCCCAGCCAGCCACCCAGCAATGGGCTTTCACTCATGGTCAGAAGGAAGAGGCATCCACAGGTGGCAGGCTTTCTGCCTGGGAAGTGCCTTTACACAGCACCCCCTGCTCCCCCTGGCTGCCTCCCCAAGTGCCCTGGTCTGCATCCCTCAGACTCCATAACCCTAAATCCCTTCCCTCCCCAGGCCTGGATGATAAATCACAAAAATGAGCTAACAATGGTGTTCATACAAAAATCATAAATCTGAATCAGGTTTATAAAGGCGCTGCATTAAGAGGTACTTAGTATCAAGTTCAGCTGGCCGACTAAGTCCTGGAACACACATGGAATATTTGAACTCCTACATCACGGATCATCCCCTTCAGTTAGCCCAACACCAGGCAGCGTTTTAAAGCACTTGGATGAACAGTCTCGCATTCCACCTTCACAGCACTCCAGAAATGCAGGTTGATATTATAATTTCTATGTTACTGATGAAAAACATTGAGGCTCAGACAGTTTCAGTGACTTGCCTAAGGTTAGAAGACTAGTCAGTTATACAATCGTAAGTTTTCATACGTGGGAGAAAATCAAAAGACTTATCCAACCAGGGAACACCAATAGGACTAGAATTGTGTTGACTCTGATCACCTGGGGCAGTGTGTTAACAAGGATGGGGTAAGAGTAATGGCTAATATTTCTTTTTATCCTCAACAGTTTTATTGAGACATAATTGACATACATACAATCCACCCATATTTAAAGTGTACAATTTGATAAGTTTGACATATGTGCACACTCATAAAACCATCACCACAACCAAGATAGTAAACATATCCGTCACCCACAAACGTTTCCTCCTGCCCCTTCATAACCCTTCCCTCTGGCCGCTCCCTGCCTCCCAGTCACGATGTGCCTTCTGTCACAATGGGTTAGTTTGTACTTTCAAGAGTTGTATGGAAATGGAATCATGCCCTATGTGCTCTTTTGGTCTAGCGCTTTTTTTTTCACTCCACTTATTTATTTTGAGGTTGTTGTGTATGTTAACAGGTTTTTTCCTTTGCATTGCTGAGTGGTATTCCATTGTATGGATATACCACAACTTACCTATTTTCTTATTGATGGGCACTTGGTTTGTATCTAGTTTTTGGCTTAAGAGTTTACTATTTGAGGGAGAAACTAAGATGGCGGCATAGATAAACACCGGGAAATTGCTGCCGCTCACAACAATGGAATAATACCTCAGAAACACAATACGGACATCATCCAGAACCACAGGAAGCCTGGCTGACTGTAAATTCTACAACCAGAAGGAAAGAAAAGCACACTGAGACCCAGAGGAGCTGCAGAAGTAAAGCGCAGAGGTAGGGGGCTCGCGCGCGGAAAGGGGCTGGCACCTGAGGACGCGGCTGTCTTTTTGAATCCGGAGGGA